AGCAAGTGCTGCTCCCCGCACAGTTCCCCTAGGTCTATGTATACAGGACTGGGAAGCTGCATTATTCTGGGGGCACAAGAGTGCCTTGGGGGCACAGTTTCTTTGTTAAACCCCTGAGGCAGAGACGGAGCACATCAGACACACGGTCCTGCATTTTACACCACGCTAGAAGCCTGTGGCCCTTCCTCCTGCTCTAATTCAGTTCTTAGAGAGCCCACAAACAAAGCCCCCATCTCTCTCAAACGTTTTTTACAGTCATTCCCAGCCCTTCTCTACTGTAAGTCCTGGAAGAAGAATGCTCCCTTGCTCAGCTTGCCTCCCACCCTTCTCTAGCTGCCCTTGGGCAGATGAGCCCTTCATTGTTTGATCCAGTTTGGCAGCTGGATTTAAACAACCTTCAGAAATCTGTGCTAAGTCTAACCTAGTCTGACTTCACTCCTCTCAAACTCACAAGTTTTTTTTCAAATGAGTCTCCTGCTTTATCAGCCACATAAGTTGTATTTAATATAATTAAAATGCTCAACTGATGAATCTTCTCACTGAGGGCAGATTATAGTTGGATGTGTGAAAAGGGCACTCAGCAGGAAGGATGCAGAGAAACCAACAAGTAAGGGAGCCAGGGACCACAGAACCCCTGATATACACAATACAGGGGATATTAAAAAGTGGGTAAGAGGCAATGAGCAGTGAGCATCCTGGGCCACTAAGACTTTTCATCCTCTAGCTCCCTTTCTGTCTGCACTTGCTGACTTCTGTGGGATGACTTGGTAGGCATTTAAGGAAATGTGTAGCACAATAACTGACAGCATCGAGTGAACTCAGCATCAAGTTGGGATCACCCAATTACAATGGTAGGAGAAATTAAATAGCATTAATTAGGGGGAGAATATGGGACTCTTTCTGCCTGGGATATGTCTCATCTCTTAGCTGACAAAAGCATCCATGCTTTGGCTTATAAAGAGCCAAGTTTATAGGAAGGCTGAAGGGAGAAAAGGAGCATTTGGCTTATAAAGAGCCAAGTTTATAGGAAGACTGAAGGGAGAAAAGGAGCATTCTCCATTGTGCACCAACCCAGCTGAGGGAAGCCTTGTTTGACACTGACCTTTAAAGAACAGCAAAATGTTAATGCATTTTTATCCCAGCCACCATTAATACATCTGAAGATCTCTTTTAACTAGACCACAGACAGCACTTTTGCTGTTATTTCATTCTGAAATCAGGTAAGTAATATATGTAAGGGAGAAAGAATCAGAGATAAAAGAGATTTCTTCTAGAAACCAAAACAATCTTCTGCTATAGTCTTCCTACTGGCTATAGAGCTACCTGCACATATTCCATGTTAAAACTTTCTCCATAACGATTTTTTCCCCCTATTTTATTGACATTTGATATAAAACAGACTGCACTCTGCATTAACAGAAAGAGCTTGATTCTTTGAGGTAACAATGAACTCATTTCCCACTGAGCCTGTGAAAGAGGTCGACATGCAAAACAGCTAAAGGTAGGTACCTTGTATTACTTGGAAGCTGCTTCCCTGCACCCTCCATTCCCAGATGCATTGGGAAAGGGCCAGGATAAATATCAGAGTCTCAGTTCTGTACTTTGTGATTTGAATCCATCCCATCTTTTATGACAGAACTATAGAATATGAAATATGATACTGCAAAGTGTAGATCAATTAGTTACATTTAATAGGATTTATTTGCCATCTTTTGGCAAATGAAGCATGTTTACATATACTCTCTCTTAAAAAATTACCTTTCCTTTTGTATATGTACTTGCCTTTTTTCTATACTAAACAGTTAACGAAATTCCAAACCGCTAAACAAAACCTATGAACATTTTGGGCAGTAAACTCTTTTTCCCGATATATGTCTATATAATGCCTAAAACAGACCAGTCCTGATATTTTTAACAGAACCATCTAGAAATTTCTGTTATTTAGAAAGACAATATTTTTCATTTATTTCATTAATTCAAAAATAAAAATGTTCTTCATTTACCTGATTCACTTGGAAAAAATAAGGAAGAAAACTGGCAACAGATCTCCATAAAATACCAGTATGGTAAAAGTGCACTACTGAGGAAATCACCAACAAATGAGCTAGAATTACAGATTAATGAACTACACAATGTCCACCTCAGAGTACTCAAAAATTCAGATGTTTCTTTGAGTCTTATTAAAGCCTCTTGAATCTAAGTAACTACATCACTTCACATAGTAGCTGTACTATGTAAAATGTCTTAGAGAGGAAGATGCCAAAATGGACCAAAAAAGTGTAGACTTTCCAAGAAAAACATTCTTTTTGGTCAACATTATTTGCTAAATTCAAGCTAAACATATTAATCATTTTGTTCATCCCACAAGTGCATTTTTTGATTAATATATTAACTATCCCTTCAATTTCTCTCAGCTTTTCTTACATGTTCTGTCTCTCTACTTCCCTTTAATAGACAATGGCGTATCTTTCTCCTGTATTTAGAAACACAACCTCTCTTAAAATGATGGTTCTATGAAAAACCTCACTTGGAGATGCTGTGACACTTGATGGACTTGAAAACTCTGCCCAGAAAAGGCAGGATGTAACAGCTGCATGATCCCTGAAGATGCTTTAAAGTGCATCCAATAGATAACCCATTGCTCAGACATAATGTTAGAGCCAGAAGATGTAACAGCTGCATGATCCCTGAAGATGCATCCAATAGACAACCCATTGCTCTTACCACTCAGACATAATGTTAGAGCCAGAGGAACAATGAACTATATGTGAGAAACTGTGGGCCAGTCAAATCAAGAAGAGTAAAGAGAAAAAAAAATCAAACGAGAGAACTCGAGCCGATCACTCTTTTCTTTTGGTTCCTACAGAACTCAGAGGAAAGAATATGTGCACACTGAACTTCCCCAGCCTTTTAGGAAAGAATATGTGCACACTGAACTTCCCCACCCCAGCCTTTTCCAGGCTCTACCTATAAGCAAGAGGAGCTGAGAAGGTATCAACATCACTCCACCAAAATGCTTGCTTTTGCACTCAGATGTAAACCTTACAGAGCAGTCCTGCCCGCAAAAGCCACCAAGGAAGCTTCACTGGTCAGCTTAAGTGCAGGATCCTTTGTGCACAGATTTAAATGGGAAGTTACTTTAGCTTCAGGGAAGCAGAATCTTCCCCAGATATCTCACAGTGCAATACATTACATAAATATTATTAATTACAGTTAAATTAAATGCAAAACACATTTTACCATTTTATGATAAAGAGTATTTCCTAAAATGTTAATAAAGTTTAAAAAGAAATGGCCTGGTTGGTTTGTTAAACCATGTGAGTTAATTTCTAGATGCTGCTTACTTTAAGAAAGTAAGAAAGAATCTTCAGCATCATAAAAATGCAGATTCTGTTTCTTATATTTTCTTCTCATAAAAAAGGGGAAAAGAAAAAAATGTGAAAGAGCTTAGAGCTAGGATATTTGGTTTGAGGATTGGTTGAATATTTCAATTTTGTCTGCAGCACTAATTATAGACTTGATTATTATATAAATATTGTTTCATATTAGTTCTATGACCAAAATTCTAAATTTAGAATTAATCTTTTTTTTCATGATGTTGTTTCAATAATAAACATTATGATCAAGTCTAGGTGTATGTTACAGTATTAAAATGCCTCCTTTTTAAGCACTCGGTGGAATCACTGTTACTGCTCTGCTATGGCTTAGCTAGTCTGCCTGTAAAAATGAAGATTTATTTTTATGTGGCTTGAACTAAAACAACTGATTTTTGATGTGTGCTCACCCTTAACTATTAACATTGTGTGCAATGGCAGTTTAAATGTTTTATTTTCAAATAAACAGGCAAATGGACTGTTATTTCTATAAATACTAACAGGATCATGCCCAAGCGCTGGGATTTTTCAGCCTGGAGCAAGAGGAAACCACACATTTTCTGTTTATTTTTGTGGGTTTTACTATTTTAAGTAACATCAAGCCTCGGACTAAAGATATTCTGACATTTCTGGTTACTTTGAAGGAAAAAAGTCTCAATAGTTTCTTAGCAAGTTAGGTTAACTTATGGTAAGTCATTAAGTGATAAACAAGTATTGCCTGTGACAACAATATATGCAGTGTCGTCCTGGATGTCCATCACCAAGGGTCTTGCAACGGAGCTCAGAAGAAATTCATAGGAAGATGGGAAAATGGTGGACAGAGGGCCTGGTCCTACAAACACGTATCCAAATCTACTCACATGCATTGTGCCATTAAGTGTGATTCTGCAGGGATATTTGAGAACTGTCCCTGTCTCCTTAACTGAGAACAGATGTTGACAGTGATATCAGATGCTCTTTTCTCTCTTCCCCTGACCTCAGTTTAAACAATCTCATGAAGAACAAAATACCAAGGTTCATGTGCTGCCTTTGGAACAGTAAAATCTGAGCATCAGCTGTATGCTTTAGACCTGTGCACTAGTAAATGTTTTGTTTTTCCTTTGTAGATGGCTACTTATGTTTTGAAGGGGCAGAACTGGACAATTGTCTGGGTTTTTTTGTTTGAGCAATACCTCTGCATCTTTTGTTTGGCTTCATTTAGTAATAACCGGTTGATCATCTGCAGGTAACACAGTATTGGTTGAGAACTGTAACTTGATTTTTGAATAGACAAATTCAGACACCATTATATGACCGAAGGTCTACAAAAGTATCAGACTGTCCTTTGAATCTGAAGGCTTTTTGCAGCCTATAGTTGTTCCTCTAAATCTCTGGTCAGTTTGAAACACTTTGACCTCTGTATCTCATTTCTTTTCAGTAATAAAACCCCCTAATAAATAGAGAGAAAAATGATTGAAATAGGTAAATACAGAAAAATTAGGGAAGGAGAAAGCTAATGAACTCAGTTGCAATCACTATGCCAGTATTGCCTTAACCTGAAAGTATTGATTAAATAGCTGAATATTTACATCTTGTACTGGAACCACTGAAGGCAAACGGTGCATTGCAAAGCAAACAGAAGCTGACCTTTGCACGTTTTCCCATCAGGCTGCAGGGTAAATCCAACTGGGCAACTGCATCGTACCCCTGTCGCGGTATCCTTGCAAGTCCGATCACAGCCTCCATTATTGACAGCACATGTTTCTGCAGAATGAAAGAAAGAGAGAGAGAGAGAGAGGGAGAAAGGGAGTGTAATGAAATGTTCTGGGGGAGGGGAGAGGCACCGACTCTTTGGGGCGATATTACAACATTATGAAAGCAATCTAAGTTGAAGCAAGCCAACTGAAGCAAGCTCTCGAGGTCATCAGGGCCCACGTACTGGTTTTGACTAGTAAATCATTTCCACAAGTCATGATTTCTTGCTCCCCCCAAACTGGTGTTTTTATTCATTATATTTCGTTAGTGCTTTTGAACTGTCTTAGACAATAGGATGGGTTATTACATATGAAACAAGTTTAAAAAGAAAAAAAAAAAGTGATTGCCTTTAAAAGCAGAACCAAACATTCAGTCTGTTTCGTATCAGTCAATGTCTAGCCGAGGCTTTTTAAGGTTCATTTTTTTAAATGATGTTGCAGGCATAATGAACTTTAAAAAGCAGTAGAAAGCAAAGCAGAGTGCTAGACTTGGAACTGAGAATTTAAAATCCTTAGTTAAGAAAGAGTTAATGGAAAATGAACTACATATATCACTTTGACAAGAATCTACATGCCCAATCTGTTCTTACTGAACTACAAGCAAAAGGCATCTGGGTTTTGTCCACTTAAAGCTTTTTGCAAATTGAAAGGAGTTTGGAGTGGGTGGGAGGGCATAATTGAGGTCACTGAACCCATTCCAAGCTGTGTCATTGAAATTTCCCAGTGCTTGTAGTATGTAGAAGGGTGGCTGGGCAAACACAGGCAAGAGAAAGCTGCAATACTTCTGAGCTTTTACAACAGTGGGCAATGACTATTAGGTACCACTACATTAAAAAAAAAAATCTTCAACTTCATCACAGAAAAAGCAAAAACCCCTCCCTCATTGCCATTATTTTCTGTTACTCATGTGTGCACATGCGCACACCGGACACATACGTATGCACACATACCCACACACACATCCATAAAATAGATAAAAGGCAAGTGAAATGATTAACTTTGCTTTGATCCAGAGAATAGAGTGGATGTAAGGATACCAATTTAGCACGTCAGTTTGAACTGTGCATTTATCTGAAAAGTATTTACTTCAGAGAGCAAGTCCTTTTAATAGTATCTTTTTCAGTTGCTCTGGCTTTGATTAAATTAAAATACCCCCCTGCCCCTCAAGACTGCCATTATTCTACTCGGCTCACCTCATTCTGGCTCTCCCTAAAGAGGCTTTGTCATTACTTACTCAGATTTACAGACTCCTATTGCTGAATATTCACAGTCTGTGTCACAATTGTACCCTGTGGACAAGGTCTGACAATAAGCTATAGGATATGCTAATAGGGAATTGCCTTAGAACAGTACATTGATCAAAAATTATTTACACAGAACAGAAAAGGCTTTATCTTTCAATTGACTAGTACTAACAGATTTTTATTTTAAAGTAGCCTCTGCTAATGCCCTCAAGGTGAACTTAGACTGGCCCTTCAGAGGGACTTCACTGCTTCAAAAAAAAAGAAAAAAAAGTGTAACTTTTTTTTTTTTTTCCTTTTGCACTGGCACAGACCTCTACATCAGTAGTGGAATAAGCTGCTGGCACTTATGAACAATTTGAAAGCAAGAGGTTGGGGCACACATGCGTTAACAGCACGGGACAGAACTCTGCCGTCCATTCACATTCACACATGCTCTACTAGACAGATTTTAAATTTTTTATGCCATGTGTGCTATGTAATAACGTCATGTAGAAGAAGCCATTAGTATACAAATGGAATTTGCATCTAACTGCCAGCAAGCAGAGCTAACAAATGGATTGACATGTTTTCTAGAACAGCTTTCTGAAAATGGAGCTCAGTCTGCAACTCCTTATTTTCAGGCGGAGAACTTGCTCACCTTAGGTACGACTTGCAGGGCCTGAACCTAACTGTTTAAGTAAGGCAGTTCTGATTTTCATTTACTCTCCTGGGAAGGACTATTTTATAGACTTAGAGACTGACACTGCTGCTTGAAGAATTTTTCTGTAAATGACAATGCTGGCATTTCCATTTGTATGTGGATGGTTGTGTCCATCCTCATAGGCCAACATATCAAACGATTTTATGTTTCAGAGAAGGGAAGAAGTTCCAGGTCATTGAAAACATTTTTTTTTTTTTTATTTGGGTACAGTTTAATGGTAGGATGATTTGCCAGGAGTAAAGAGTTAAGGTCAAAAACCAGGAAAAAGTGCTGAAGATGTACGTTTGGCATGGCACTGCAAAGAGCAGTAAATCTTACGTTAGCAGATTAACTTTGGCATATGAAGCGTCCTTTATTGCAGTTCATCAACACGAGATGAACATAAGCAGTAATATTTCTGCTTTCTGGATGACATCCAGTGCAAATGAATAGACACAACAATTTTTTTTTTTTCCCATGGCATGGATGACTGGATCTATAGGGTAAGGGTCATTCAGTGAACAAGAGTTATTTCTATGTATAAATAGAGGGAATCAAGCCAGCTTTTCTTATTTTCACAGAGATTTAGTAAAACAAACCAAAAAGGATAAATGCCCTTCAACTTTCCTGGTGACTCTGACTTTAATACATGACAAACTTTAACAGAATGAAGATCCAAGTGAGCAAGAGGACATCTGACAGTACCTCTAACGTTTTGGATAATCAGAGAGATGTATTGATGAAATTCCTTAAACTCAAGGTCGTGAGAAAACATTGGTAAAAGAAAGCAAACGTGAATAGCAGAATGTGGGAAAGAGGTATTCCGAGCTACATCAAATAGAGTAGCTGAGGCCTATATACAACATAAACCAAAGGGTGTCACCACCTGTGTTTCTGTCCAAAATTACTTCAACTCATTCTTCACCTCCCCACTATCAAACTTCAGTGTATATTTGAAATGCAAATAAAAGTTTTACATCTCAAATAGACAGCAGAAGCAAATGACTTATTTCAAAGCTATCACATTGGAGAAGCTATACTTGTATGGAAGGTAAAGAACGGATGTTCAAAATTTGGTTCAGATCGTCATAGTGATATTGATCCTACAGATCATTTTCCAATGTTTTTTCCTCTGCGAAAGGCAACCTCAGCACATTTATTCTTTTTTTTTGCTTTGTTTTGTTTTAGTCTTTTTGCCACGTTTCAGATGTTTTTTGTTCTGATGAGGGAGCAGGAAAAGAACTGGAAGACACAAAAAAAGCCGTGTGATGTAACCTATTCAGAAGCCATTTGCTTCTGAATTATGATAAAGCTCACCCTTTGAAACTATTAGACTTTACTGTGAATTTGAAGTGATGTTTGCAGCCCTACTTACATCCTTACTGAATTCCCGCCAGAAAACTCAGACAGAAACAGGGACCTAAAGAAACAGACATCTATTTACATAGGGCAATTTGGGACAAGCTTACATTGTGTTTTTCCACTGTAAGCTCCTATTTCTGGAATAATCTCTCATGTATCTGCTCCCTGGATCTATAGACAAGAAGTAACCAAAATTACCACCATGCTATACTTATGGTTTACTCAATTAGGATATCTATTGTTTTAACAGTAGTCTATTACACTATGGGATATGCACTGCTTCTGGATATTAAAATATCCTATTAAAAAGCATAAACTTGAGCTGTTGGTCCTTCAATACTGGATCGGGAACGTTGGCCAATTTACCAGGTGGTTACAAGGGTATTCAGTCCTTTAATATGTCACTTTAATATGCAAGGGTTTAGCAGTGAAAGATCAGTTCTCCGGGTTACAGTTCTGAAATTTTTGAATGAAAGCAGAATCTCTACCAGGTGGCAATAGAAACTGGCCACTTTCTTAAAGTAAGACTGACACCACACAGGATTTATTTGGCTTTGAATACTATTAAATGCCTGAAACGTTGAACATGTGTCATGGTTTGGGAACATTTCTGAAAACCTAAATTTCAACTTCTTTTATGAAACAGGTAAACACAGCCATTCAAAATGTAAGCTTCTACTCAAACCTGGGTTTTGGAAGTGGCCAATTATTTCATAAAGCCATTGAAAATTTCCCTTGAAGACAGTTGTCTCCAAAATTTGCCTCCAGTTTTTGTGACTTCATTTTATCTCTATGATCAAAAAGAACATGATGTGATTTTAACAGTATTGCTCAAAATCAGGCAAATCTTGGAATCACTTTGGCAGCCTGGGTCAATTTGAACCAATAGCAAACCAATATTTTAGGAACTGAGATATGGTGCAAAGCAAAACAAACTTATACAGGTCTATGGGACTAGAAGAGATAAATCTGAAGATGATACAGTAATGTGTGTCTTAGTGAGATCACTCTCTATAATCTTTGATAAGTCATGAGGACAGGGTAAGGTTCCTGATGACTGGACAAGGTAAACATCAAGAAAGTCAAGAGGGGGGATCTGGGGAACTAATGGCCAGCCAGCCTCACAGCAGACCCTTGTAAGTTTATGGAGCAAATCATCCTGGAAGCCATTTGCAAGCACATGAAAGACAAGAAGGTGAATGGGAATGAACAGCATCGACTTACTGAGGGCAAACCATGCTGGAATTATCTGACTGCCTTCTACAATGACATGACTTACACTGTGGATAAGGGGATGTGCATGTTTTTCACCTTAAGTATAGCAAGTGCTTTGACATGGTCTTCCATAGTAACCTTACAGCCACAGTGGTGAGAGACAGACTAAGTGGACAGTATAGGGAGTGGAAAATCCGCTGAACAGCTGGACTCAAAGGTCTGAATCACTGTTATAAAGTCCAACTGGCAATCTGTCACTAGAGCTATCCCTCAGCCTCAGCTAGTATTATTAGGAACAATAATGCCTAATGTCTCTACTAACAATCTGGACTATGGGATGGATGGCATTTTCTGCAAATTCGTGGATGATACCAAATTCAGGGAGTGGTCAATACACTGGAGAGCTGGGCTGCTACTCCTAGAGGCTTTAACAGGTTGGGAAAAATGACCTGAGGGGAACATTATGAGCCTCAACAAAGGTACACCCAAGTCCTGTGTGTGGGATGGAAT